TTTTACTTGGGTGTACCCCTAATCTCTGAGTATTACTTTGTACTCTTGCTTTTGGCAATTTTACTTTGGTTTTTACCCGCTACTTTTAGCCACACTTTCTTATTCTTCGTTGCAAATACTAGTACTATGCACTTCATGGTATTTACCATGCTCTTCGAGCACCATTTATCTTTGAGCACCCTTGCATTTATGCATTACCTTAGGCTTTTGCCTTACTCTATGAGTAACCATGCATTTATGTGCCCAACGCTATTTTTGTGTGTGTTCTTGTCCTACCTTCTTCGCCTCTGTTCTCAGGGTGGCTTTTGTAGTGACATACCTTTGGCACGTTTTGGTCTCCGCGAATTTTTCGCTAAGCCCTTTTTGCCTTTGGCATTGCCTCTCTTTGAGAACTTCGTCTCGAAGGCCTTCAGCAATACGTTGCCCAGTGGGGTGGCTGTCAAGAAGGGGCACTTTGGCCGTTCTTGCTTTGGCCATTTTTTGCCGAGGTTCGGTCACTTACGGATAATATCCGGTCATCCAAAATTATCCGGTGTTCTTTCTCTGTAGAACCCGGACTGTTTATGCCCAATCATAGGTCAGCTAAACAGTCCGTTTATGATCACTTTTGGTTTTGTCATCGACCACACAAGTGTTCTTCGTCGTCGTTCCTCCTCAGTGCAACCCCCTGCATCGTCCCTCTTGACACAAAGAAGTGGGAAATCAGTACTACTATAATAGCATTCGGCATCTCGAATCGAACGTGAAACTTTCGACTGTGTTCGAACTTCTACGCGCTTCAATGCTTACAGTACCTTCACAAATCCAAAGTACGCAATAACTTATAAGGTAAGGTGCAAATCATCTACCGGTACGTATAAAGACTACAGATCGGCCATCCTCAGGAGGAGGAGACGTTTTACTATTAAACGCCCAGTTGATTGTAAACCCACGCAATTTTGAGGTTAAAACATTATTAGTAACGTTTTTTACTTGGTAACTTCTGTTGGGCTTGTCCAGTTCTATCGTTATTACGGCTTATTTTGCTAGAAAATGTCAATATAACGTTGGAATAGCTGTTGAAAGACAAGGCATTTTTATGTAGTCTTTACTATGTAACGTTAACGTGACCGATCAGTGATCCGCCAAAATTTGGATTTTTTCCTTCTTGAATTACTCAGCGGCTATTTGTGCTAGAACAAAGATGGACACACATTCTGATAGCCAATTTCAAGCGCTTTCGCAAGGATTCAAAACCGATCGGATCTGACAGTTCATGTTTCTCCAATTAATTTAGAAAGTTGAGCAATTTAAACAGACGATCAGTGATCCGCCAAAATATATACTTGAAGTGAGTATTGAATTCAGTTTAACAAAATCCAAT